CAGGCCTGCGATGGTTTTATTGTCTTGAAGCTGTTACATGTTTCACAATAATTCCTGTACGCTGAATCCGAAAATTATATCCATTTTTCTCCATCACTTACAGATTTTTCACAAAACGTCATATGTACTTTTACATAAGTGAATAATTTTCATTGAAATCGGATTACATTTTTTATGCTTAAAATGTTGACAACCACTGGCTATAGATTTTTCTAGACCAATCGCGACGTGAGTTATATCGATCGTTTTAGAACCTACGAGAAATACACCGCTAGTATATAAACGGCTAACATGTCGCATGACCTGTCATTTCTGGATAGTATTTGTTTGTGCGGTGCACTTTAACATTTTTTTTTTTCTTTTCAATATTATTCATTCGTCGCTAGGGCAACAAGAAGTTGTGTAAATGATCAAAACATATTCTGTTATATTTTGTGGTAAATTTGTTGTAAAGAAACAAAGGCAAAACATTACAAAATTCGTCAAAAAAGCGTATTACACGTATTTTGGAATAAAACTTGGGGACCAAGACAAATCATGGACTCCGCACAAAGTTTGCACCGAAGAGTGTCGAAAAAACTTTGTGTCGAAGAGTTGAAATAATGGTCTAAAGGTAAGAAAAAGTATTTGCCTTTTGGAATTCCAGAGAAACCACGGAGACGACTGCTATTTTTGTTCATGTAACGTGCAAGGCTACAACACTCGAAATAAAAAGAAAATTTCTTATCCGAACCTTCAATCTGCAATTAGACTTGTTGCTCATGGACTTAATGTATCTGTACCTACTCCACCAGAGACTCTTGATACAGTTTCATCTGATTCGGAATCTGATGTCAATAGAAATGATGATTAGGAAATTGACTTTGGATGAACAGTTTGAAAAGATAATGAGGAAAGTTGAAAGAGAAGCGTGGATTGCATTTAAAGATGTTATTGATAACTTTTTAGGAAACAACAGGTCCCAAATTACGAAAATATTGTCAATAACATGTTCGATAAATTCAAAGAGTTGGGTTGTAATATGAGCTTGAAAGTTCATTTCTTACACTCACATATTGACTATTTACCTGAAAATCTCGGTGCTGTCAGCGAATAACAAGGGGAAAGGTTTCATGAAGACATCAGGGAAATGGAGAGGAGGTTTCAGGGAAGGTGGAACATCAGCATGATGGCTGATTACCGCTGGTCATTGAAACGAGATGCTCCAGACGCAATACATAAAAGAAAAACAACACGTAGTTTTGAGACTAAAAGACGTAGATTTCACACACTATAAATCAGGATGAATGAGGATGCATATTTGTTTGACATCAATGTTCTTCCCTTTTCTTCATTTTGTTTGTAT